CCCCAAAACCCCAAAACCCCAAAACCCCAAATCCTCATTTCCCCTGAATAATAATAAATATGGAAGCTACTGGTTTCAGAACGGGAAGAGCAGAAGGTAGGAATTAACAGTTTTGTTAAGAATTTTGGATAATTTGTGGTTTAGAAGAAGGAATTGGAAATAGGGTGAATGGAGAAGGGGGAATAGGCAGGTTTATGGTAAGAAGGAGGGGCTAAGGGGTTTAGAGGATGGGTAATGGGGGAGATGAGGATGGAGAGGTGCAGAGGTTTATGAATGAGAAGATACAAGAGAGTCTGCAGAAGTCCTATTCGAGGTATATTAGGATAGGCTGATTGGGGAATATGGGAGTTTGATTTGTAGCAGCGCTTACGGCTGTTTTGAGTAAGATAGGAGGGTGATGGTTTAGCGATGAATGAGGAGAATGAGAAAGCAAATACTCAGCTGTGAACTCACTCGGTGACGTTTTTGGTGATTTCTTTTCTTATATTAGTCATATGAGGACGCAAAGCATTTTATTTAGTTTATTTGGTTCCAATACTTTTAGGACTCGGAATTTATATGGCAATTGATATTACCTTACAAAGCGAGGAATACAGACCTAGTGAATATTTAGTAGTTTCTTGCTGAACTGCCCACTGACTGATGATTCTAATTCCAAATAAATGGATACATTCTTCTATTGCTCATGCTCTAGCAATGGGATACCTTGGGTATGGTGCATGGAAAACTTATGGAATGTTTTCCTCTGATATTAATCTGACAATAATGCTTTGAGTATTCTGGTTTACCCTATCAAGCTATTTCTTGTCACTCAAAACTACAGGTATGTATGCTGAAATCTATAAAAATAAAAAACTCATCGAAGAAATGAAGAAGGTGCTCCAGATCCTCCCTTTTGGCGTAGTCATCTGGCCGTCCAAAGCAGGTGAGAAGTACTTCGCCAATAAGGAGTTTAGACAGAAATATACTGAAGTTGACCATAGCCTTGAGGAGCTGGCCGGAATCGAGCTGAAGCTACTTGATGATGAAAGAAAAACAATTAATGAAGAGTTTAGAAATGATCTTGCGAAGTTCTTGAAAAATCAGCAAAGACTTATTAGAAATAATGAGTGTATTGTTGAGCGGAATGCTCAAATTAAATGTTTTCCAAAGGAAGTCTTGCATATGTCAGAGGATAGTGAAGAAGCTGTGAATCATAAAATTTGTTGTATAAAGACGCTCACCATTGAATGGGAGGGCGTAAATTCTTACCTTCATGTTTTTATTGATAATACAAATGTAATTAGATTAGAGGAGATGAAAAATAAAATGAAGCTTGAAGAAGCTGACAATAACATGAAGCTTCAGAAAATCATGTTCGCAAGTGCTTCACATGAATTTCGAACTCCTTTGAACTCGATCACCAACTCGTTTGATATAATTTTAAACTCATTTTAATACCATCAACAGGGTCTGACAACCTTATTTTTCAGAATTAGAGGGCTTAGAATCTGAGGAGATTGATCTGAATGCTGAAACTCTGATGAAATTTATAAAGATTGGAAAAAGCTCTTCCCTCCTTCTCTTAACACTAATAGAGGATGTTCTTAATCTCTCCAAAATGGAGGCAGGAACTTTCACCATCAATAAGGAAATATTTCAAGTTTGTGAAATTCTCGATGAAATCTATGATATCTTCAGTATGCAGTGTGAGCTAAAGAGCATCAAACTTAGTGTTAGAATATCTAGTGATGTTAGGAAGCTTAATATCTTTTCAGATAAGTCCAGGATCAAACAAATAATAATGAACCTGGTGTCTAACAGTATGAAGTTTACCTTCAAAGGCTCCATTACTATTGAATGTATGAATATTAGGCAAAGAGGAAGAGTGTTCACAAAGTTTAGTGTAAGAGACACCGGAGTCGGTATTAAGAAAAAAGACCAGAAATAAACTCTTCAAACTCTTTGGAATGATTTCTAAGACTAAATCTATGAACAAAAGTGGAACTGGGATTGGTCTTACTATAAGTAAGAAATATGTTGAAGCTATTGGAGGGGAGATATACTTAAAATCAGCTCCAAAAATTGGTACTGAAGTTACTTTTACATTCCCAGTTGATCGGATTCCTGAATCTGAAAGTCATCCCCAATCGAGTAAATCAATATGGTAAGCTTAAGAAAACGCTACAATTTTTTATAAAGAGCGATTGGCAACTTAGAACTAAATTTTAGTCCTGTAAATTTACATCCTTGCTATAGGAGCTATTTTGAAAGTGATTTTGAGATTGCAGAAGAAGGCCGTATTCATCAGAACTTAGCTATACACAAAGATATTGGGTCTAGAGGATGATTCACCAAGAGATAATCTATACAATACAAAGTGGACTTGCTTAAAAATAAATAATGGAAATTTTTATAGATTTAATGATCGACATTTTTTTGTATAATATGGTTTATTCTATGACAACCTTATGCCTCGGGGTTTTGGGGTTTTGGGGTTTTGGGGTTTTGGGG